CACTAACTTTGGGGGGAAAAACCAGAGATGGTACAAGAAAGGAAACAGTCATAACCCCGGGTTCAGTGGCAGCCATTATGTCCCTAGTCACAACTCTGATGGCTAATGGGATCCAAACTGTGTTCCAACTGTGGGGGGGGGTGGTGTGTGGAGGAAGTAGGGGCACCAGCCTGCCCTCACCCCCAAAACAGGAGGCCTGTGAGGACTCGTAACACAGACAAATCAAACACAGCAACATAAGCACACTCGTCAACAACCCAGATATAAATACAAAAAAGTTGCTAAAAGACTTCTAAGTGGTAAGTAGTTCCGTTTCACTTTTCAGACACTATGTGTGTACTGCTTTGATGAAGATGAAATTAACTTAAAAGAAGTCCTTTTAGTTAAAAACACACACGCACAACTGAAAAACCTGCGGCACATTCCAGCATCAGGGCGTTGATCAGTACCAGCTGCCTTGGGATCAGTAACCAGAGGGTCCCCGAGGCTCGGACAGGCAACCTGGCAAACCTGTTCCACATGAGGTGTGTTTATCTGTACATTCATACTTTACACAATCACTTTATATAAACATCAGCAAACGCACCTTTCTTAACTGCAGCAATAATTCTAGGATTCAGGTCCAACTGATCCAAATCCATTTTTTCAATGGGGTGACCACAGAGATGGACGAATTCCCAGGGACATGAATTCTGACGCGCTTGTCGTCCCCTCGAGCAGCCCGGGAGCCGAATGCAGCAGAGTGACGGAGCCCGGGTGCGCGGTTCCCTTTGTGACAGGGCCACACCATCAGCCCGGAGCTTGGAGAGGCTTCACTGCACCAGGGACAGCACTGAGAGACGTCCAAGGCGGCGCTTCTGTCCGGGCAATTGTTCGGTAACTCAGAACTTAGGACTCAATCCACACACACATGCATCTGAAGAGCCACCCCCCCGCCTCGCATTCTGAAGGTCAGCCCGCTTCATCCCCCGCAGAAAGTGGGAGAAACCGGCTTGTGTCCCAGCCCCACGCCCCCCAGGCCAGGGGCGCCCTGCCCTGACCCACCTCTCTGGGGTGACGGCGCCGGATACAGTCAGAGGCCCGTGCGCGCTGGGCTCACCCGAGTGGATCCTGCTTTGCGTTCTCCGGTGTGAGTTCCCTTAACTGCGTCTCCACGGCGATCTGGAAAGAGCAGAAAAGGCCATGTGTGGTGGATCTCAGAGGACGCCCAGGAGGTCGGAACCGCTGTGACCACTGAGCTGCCCCAGCAGAGAACAGCGGACACCGAGTCCGGCCCGGCCTGCAGCCTGCCCTCCCCACTGGCAGGAGGGGCAGCCAGCGGCGTGTCCACCCAAGACGGCACAGCCGGGGATGCAGCAGGGCAGCGACACTAAGGCCGTGGCCACTCAGCAGAGGCCAGGCTCAGCGTCCAGCAGCAGCAGCAGCAGCAGGGCCCGGGCCTCTGGACGGTGTCAGGTCGCTCTGGAAGCTTAAAGAACCAGGCCGTGTGCACCCCCTCATCTGTGGTCTGCTCAGGGAGCCCCTGGAGGCAGCTTCTGGGAGGGGGCAGCACGAGGCTCTGGGGCCCACAGCCCGGGCAGGGGGTCTCCGGGCCAGCAGGCTGCTCCCACGTTCTGCTGGCGTAGGGGGCAGGGGGCTCCCAGGCCGGCTGCTCAGGGCAGGGCTGACAGTAAACACTGCTGAGGCTGAGGGGAGACACCGAGGCCCTCAGGACTGCACATCAGAGCAGAAGGGCGGCCTGAGTGCAGGGCCCCAGTACCAGCTGCAAGGTGGCTGGGGGATGTTGAGTAGCTAGGAGTGAACCCTGAGGCCGTGTGGGAGACGCCCGGGCATCGGACATCTGGACAGAATACCAACCTGGGTTTGTAAATTCTAGAGGAAGTGCGTGTGTTCTTCCCCTAGACTTGTGGAAAGCCCCCCCCCCCCCCCCACCCTGGCGAGGGCCCTGAAGCTGGGAGCAGCGAGTGGGCTGGGGTCTGGATTCTGAATGATCGGGGGGGGGAGCCTGCGTGGGGACAGAG